CCCACAAATCCAGGATTTACTGCCTTTTACTGAAAGCGGGTCTCCGTAGAGAGAAACCGACGGCAAACCCGCCTGTGAACAAACTGTTTGCTTGAAACAAACATAAGGACATCGTGTGTTGGGAGGAAGCGTTATTGTGTTTGTTAACACACAAAGGAGCAACAACAGCACGTGCTGTTACTTTCTTTAACGAGTGGGAGAATAAATCGAGTTCCATTCGTGTGAAAGAAAAAGGGAAGCAAATTTGAGGTTTCTTGCAACGTTCGATTATTATGGCTGAGAGAACTAATAAGGTTACGTTACTGAACATAATTCGACCTTGAGCTGCGTTACATCATCTGCGTATACAAACAATACTCAGAGCTGGTACCCTAAAAAACTCGCTAGACAAGAATACAGCGTGTTGGATTTGAAGTTCTTACGGGATGTGATTCCAGTCAGTCCGGCAGAATTTCACCGGAGTTGAGGAGCAACTACAAAAACATCGCAACACAAACCGTTTAGCTATCCCTTTAAATACACAACGAATCGGTCCAAACAACTTTTATGGGTTACTTTAGGAAGCTGTCGGTAACCAAAATATTTCTAAGATTCCGTGTATCGTCCAATAATATTGTGATGTATAGCCCCATTGCTAGGCAACGACTCGGTAAACGCATTCCCCCGGAATCGTACGCGCGCAACAATGAAAGGTCCACTGATAAGCAATGGTTCATTAAACAAGTCTTCTCAACAATAGAGAGGCTGCATTTTCTGTATGGTCCGTGCCGAGAGGCTATAAAGCGACAGAGAAGGACTTTTGAGTTAGTTGTCGAGAATTGGGGTCAAATTCCGGAGATGGCAGTCGAAAGTGCCTGAGAAGAAAAGACAAGAAATTAATTAGACTGTGCAAAGAAGACTTCATGTGTGATTTGAAGTGACAGTGAGACCGCTATAAATCCGTTGCCAGGATACGACAAGTAAAGACTGAGAACCGCAGTGCTTGTGTAGCAGTGAACTATGAAGTGTGTAGATCAGCGATAATGCTGTATTGCCTGCAGTCCCGAGTTGTGTGAGTGTATAAGGTGCAATAAATCCAATCATCCAATCCAGAACTCGTCTGTTAGTCACGTCCAAACCCACTGCATGTGACAATATGACGACTCATGAATGATGCGTTAGGAAGGATTTGTAAAGAATCGATTGTATCTCGATTGTGGTACTTTGCCGCCATTTGCCTGGAGCTACTTTGAAAAACCATGAGAAACTTCAGTCAGGAAAACCTGTGTCCAAGTTAAAAAAATCGAACTGACATCATGTATACAGCGTCACCACTTATCCTCGTATATTGTGACATGCAGACCCACCGCCAAGCAACAGTTGCGTAAACAGGCGACGGTACACAAGCTGTTGCTAGGGAACATCTCTACGGATATGTTGTTACCCCGGCGAAGAGAAAACATACAATAATGGAGACGTTTCCTGTGCGGTCCGTGTCCGGAATATATAACGAGGACTAGTAGTTCGCTGAGAAGCTAGGGACAGTTCGGGAACCCAGAGGAAGGGGAACGTCCGCCGTTGAAAGCCGCTACCAAGAAACGGCTAGTGAAGACTGAGAACACTTTATGTGTGTTGTTGTAGTTGCAGTGATATTTGGAGTGTGTAATTCAGTGAGACTGTCGTACTTATTTGTAGTTACGTTCTGTAACTGTTGTTAAGAGCGTAAGAACTCAATAAACCCGATTACCAATCCAAACCCCGTCTATAGTCGCTCTATCGTGTGACGACATTAAGTGAAAATGACAAAGTTTATACATGTATTTTCGAGATGGACCTACAAATGTTGTAACTGTTTTGTAGAACCATGAAGACTCTGCAAATCGTACGTTGTCCATGCGTCACACCGCGCACTTGTTCAAACACATGCATACGCATGCAAGGGAACTGAGACGAAAAGGAGGCCGTTATTTATTTGATGTAACTACACTTTCATTAAGGGCTCTTTCATTTACTTACAAATTTTCACAGTGGATCTCTTTATTCATTCTCTTCCACGAAGGACAGAATTAACCTTGACTCTTCCATGAAGAACTCAAAATCTGAAGAAGAAAAAAAAAAGTCTACCTTCCGAGATATAACTCCGTGTAGTCAGTTGAAAATCAGCCGACGTTTCGGAGGAACACTTCCTCTCAACCTTCAGGGTTAAAAAGGAAATCAAGCGAGAAATGAGAATGAAGCAAGTCTCAAACAAAGCTGTTTGTTATGCTCTTCGACCTTGGAGATTAAAGGGACACATTACACCATTGGGTTTTTCAGTTCACCTACTCTTCCCACCCGCACTGTGGCCCTGGGGTCGACTCAGCATTTAACAGAAATGTGTACCAGGAATCTACTCGTACATGGGGAGTAAAAGGCGACCGGTGCGTAAGACTGACACCCACATCGCCATCTATGAGCCGACTGTCTAGAAAATGTGGGAGCCTCGATGTCTCACAACCCCATGGGCCTCCACGGACTGCTACAGGGATAGCTTTCCTTGATTTGAAATTGAATGAAGTATCGTATTTTGTTATTTATTTGTTAATTTAATTGTTACTTAACTGCATAATGAGGAGCTTCATAACTTGTACTCTTCTCCAAGTATAATTAGAATGATAAAGTCAAGGAGGATGAGGTGGGCAGGGCATGTAGCACGAATGTGGTAGACGAGGAATGCATATAGAATATTGATGGGAAAGTCAGAAAGAAAGAGACCATTGGGAAGACCAAGGTGTAGGTGGGTGGACAATATTAAAATGAATCTTAGAGAGATAGTTTGGAATAGTATGGATTGGATTGGTCTGGCTCAGGATAGGGACCAGTGGGGGCTCTTTGAGCACTGTAATAAACCTTCGGGTTTCATACAATGCTGGGAAATTCTTGAGTAGCTGCAGAATTGGCGGCTCCTCAAGAAGGGCTCAGCTCCATGAGTAAGTAAGTAAGATTAAGTAAGTACGTGTAATTGTTACTTATTCGAAGGTCATGTTTTTTCGGGATCTAACACCGTGTATTTCGGTGAGACTTCCTTCCGAGGAACTCAGCTTTATAACACATAAGACACAGACGCTGCTGTGAATCCCATATCCAACTTCCTGTTTGAAGAGATGAAGTTTCTGGGATGTATGAGCTCTGTTTTCTACCTGCTTCGCTCAGCAACCAATTCTGCAGCTACTCAAGAACTTCCCAGCATTTTACGGAACCCAAATTTCATTACCGTGTTCATAAGAGGCCTCCACCGGTCCCTATCTTGAGTCAGATCGATTTAGTCCACACCACACCATCCTATCTAAGATTCATTTTAATATTATCCACCCACCTATGTCTTGGTCTTCCTAGTGGTCTCTTTCCTTCTGGCTTTGCCACCAATATCTTATACGCATTCCTCTTCTCCCCATTCGTGCCACATGCCCTGCCTATCTCATCCTCCTTGACTGCATCATTCTAATTGTAGTTGGCAAATAATAAAAGTTACGAAAATCCTCATTGTGCAGTTTTCTCCAATCCGTTTTCAACGGACTACACGGCGTTAATTCCCAGAAGATAAGGATTCTTCATAACCACGGGTGTGAGAACTTTAACTCCTACAACTTACTGTTTATTTATGGTTTACTTAAGGACGCTGTCAGTTGTTCAAATTATATATCATATAACAGTAGAATGAACAGAAATAAATGAGTTATGAAGTAGAAGGAAGCGGAGGTGGCCTATTTTATGTACTAATCAGGTATTTACCCGGAGAAACTGACGAAGCTCAGGAATCTCCAGGACGAGAACTGAAGTGGGACCTCTCAAAAATGAAGCGGTAACAGTAGGCACTTCGCAGTGACGTTCTGTCTGCTTGTTCTTCAATCTCTCTGAAAATAATTCCTTCATTTTATAATTTCGGTCATTGGATTTCTCAGTTCCCATCTCCCTTAGGGCAGGACACACCAAGGAAACTGGCAACCGCAACGCAACCGCAATTTCCGAGAACTGTTATACGCCTGAGTTGAACACGTGTTACTAAAATTCTGGAAATATAATTGGCTTCTCATTGAGATCACCCCGTTGTAACTATGTTTTGCTCTGGTCAACCTGTATACGTTTTCCGATCTCTTCTTTTGCCTCTGAATGGCCAATACAGGCTCCTTTTTTAGCTTAATATAAAACATAAAAATCTGTGTTAACAGTCAACAAAAAGAGACAGCAAATAACATTCGGAAAGCACATTTCGAAAGATTAAACAGTTATAATGAAGTCACTCCTAATCCCATGGTAATACTCAGGGCTCCATGAATAGGGGTGGAATTCAGTCATTCTCGGAAAACGTGAATGTTTGTTTTGAGTGCATAATTTGGGGTAGAAATAAACAAAAAAATCTCTTCCATTCCGAGAGCATGGTATATCAGGCTGCCAAGCAACATTCCATTCAACGCGTATCTGATCATTGTTTCCCAGCAATGCAGATTATGTATTGGGAAAAAGAAGATAGTTATGAATTATGAATTATGAATTGGTAGGGATATGAAAGGAAAATGTCGTGTATTTTAGAATAACTGACTAACTTCATGGAGCTGAGCCCTTCTTGAGAAGCCGCAAGTTGTGCAGCTACTCAAGAACTGCCCAAAATTTTATGGAACCGAAAGGTTCATTACCGTGTTCACAAGAGCTCTCCACTGGTCCTTATCCTGACCTAGATCAATCCAGTCCCTATAACTCCATCCTATTTCTCTAAGATCCACTTTAATATTATCCATCTACTTACGTCTTGGTCTTCCTAGTGGTGTCTTTTCTTCTGTTTTTGCCACCTGTATCCTATACACATTCCTCTTCTCCCCCATTACTGTGCTACATGCCCTGTCCATCTCATCCTCCTTGACTTGATCACTCTAACTATACTTGGAGAAGAGTACAAGTTATGGAGCTCCTCATTATGCAGTTTAAACATATTTTCGAAGACCATCTCAATTGCTTCACAGGGATGACCACCACAGAATACTCACCACGTGTTGTGGAAGACAGGGATTTCAAAACTAGAAAAAGGGAGAAAAATACTGGTGTAGAAACTGAGGAAGGGATAAAGCGAAGGAGAACAAATAAGTAAAAGGTAAATGTAAAACTGTCCTTGGGCTTAACTAATTAAGCACTATGCCATGAAGGAGTATGGGGGAGTGGATGTATAGATCCACATTTTCTTGACCTCGGCACTAGTTGGAGATGAGTGGTCAGGTTCACGCCCCGGCTGCTTTAGCCCCGGGGAAAGAGTCCAAAGTACCCATTTGCTATGAGGCTGGGTGGACCCTAGAGCCGGTCCGGACGACGTGGAGAAAAGAAAATCCTTCATCCTACCGGGACTCGAACTCCGACCCCTCGGCCGCCCAGCCCGCAGCCAGTCGCTATACCGACTGAGCTATCCAGGCTCACGAAGGAATAGGTAACTCAGTCATGTAAGTAATTCATAAATCATGAGGAACGTGCGGTCTTATTTCGAACATTGCAATTGTGGGTCTCGCGTTAGGTCGGTCAGACCGAAGTCCACGGCGGTGTGACATTTTGAAATATGTATGCAATTCCTGTGTTTCTTCATGAAAATAATTTTACCCCCACACTCATATACGAAATCATGCATTGGTAAATTAATCATGAAAGTTTTCTCATTAATATGTCATTTCCAGGAATGGAATTCAAAGCGCCAAAATAATATATTAAAATATAATTATTGTAGCTAACAAATACCTGACATGCTCAGATATTTTCGTACTGTTACGGTAATTTCATCACGTGAGCGCACACATCCAATATCTGGGTACACATAAAGAAATAAATTACATTAAATCTTATTGTAAATTTAATTTCAGAACATATGATTATGGGACACGCGATAGCGTATTTTGTTGAGGCACTATGCTAAAAGCCAGAAAGTCACGTGTTCGAGTCTCGATGAGGTATTTTTTTCTCGATTGACCTAATCCTTCCATCCGCATTATGGCCCTGGGGTCGACTCAGCCTCTAACTGAAATGAGTACCACGAATCTTCCTGGGTGGTAAAAGGCGACCAGCGCGTAAGGCTGACAACCTTACCGCCATCTGTGAGCCGATTGTCTAGATAATGTGGGACTCTCGACGTCTCACAACCCTACGGGCCTCCATGGCTTGTTACAGGGATAGCTATTACATAAGATTATAGGCATCATTGTAAACGTTACTGCATATTGGTTACCATACGTACCACGTGCTTTAATACACGCACAAAAACTATATTTCGTTTAAAGAGCGTGGTATAGGATTTGTGTGATTCTCGAAATAAACCACCGATTATTCCAGTAAACAGTATTAAGTGACTGGCCATATTAGTGAAGACATGGTGCCTTTCCTTTTTTGGTAGGAACTAAATTTTAAGACTTCCATTTTATTCACATGAATATCAGAATGGCACCCATTTGCTTAACACACCATCAAATTATCTTCTGCCTAATTCCACTGATTTTTTAACAAAGCGAAGCTCATCCTTCCCCTTCCAGAAATAAATCATTCATCGTTTCTCCCATGACTTTTCTTTTTCGCCTATTCTTCTACCATTCCTTCCTACCGCCATCTCTCTTCTTATATCTGGATTTCTCTAACTTATGGCGTTAAACAGAAGCTTAAAATCCTATATTTCATAAAGAAATATCAAAGAGAATATTTCTACCTACGAACGAGGAGTTTTTTTTTTGTTGCTAGTGGGGTGGGACTCAGTCCCTTGTACTGCGGCTACTTCTGGCCTATTGTACCAGCCCCAGATGATAGGTGAGGGTGATTGTGGAGCAGTTGGTGGAATGAAGATTGGCAGAGGAAACCGAAGTACTCAGAGAAAACCTGCCCCAGCGCCATTTTGACCACCACAAATTTAACTTGACCAGACCCGGGATCGAACCCAGGCCGCCGTGGTGAGAAGCTAGCAACTAACCGCTTGAGCTATGGCGCGGCCTAACGAGGAGGTTACAGAATGATGGAGAGAATTACAACATAAGGAACTTTGCGATTTAAACTAAATTTGATATTAAAATTAAGCAAAAATCGTGAGATGCGTTTGGCATATAGTACCATGTCTGAGGGAGATGACAAATATATACAAAATTTTAACCTTGGAACACCATAGGAAGACATCACTTGGGAGATATAAGATAGAATGGCAGAAATATATTTCAGTTCAGCTGGTGCAGGATAGGGTAAAACGGTGTAGGATGTGTTCACGATAGTGAATATTTGATGTCCTTCAGAATGTAATGAACATGTCTTCTGGGACGTCCTCAAGGTACCTGGAATATACGTAGCACGTTCCACAGAAATATCAATCACGATCTACTAGAATATACGGCGTCATATCTCAACAGACAGCAATATGCAAACTAATGGCCATCTGAATTCGATAATTGGAGCGAATTCCATTACCAAATGAGTAACATAAAGAATCCTGATTCATTGAGTTCTTTAGCATGTCGCAGCGGGTTCAGGTTTCGGATTTTACTAACAGTCGGTGCTAGCAACAGAACTGGAAGTCAGAACGGCGTACCCCAGCGCGCAGTCTCCGCAGGGGTCCTTTGTGTCTTGGTATTCCGGAACCCTATACAAATGCACGTAAATTTAATGAAGCTTTATAATCGATTTCTATGGCTACTTCATTCATTCATTCATTCACTGATCAATGGCTCTACAGCCCTTTGTCGGGCACTGACCTCATCTTCAGTTTTGTAATCTTTTTACATAGTCGGTAGAACTCTTGGACGGATGATCAGCCGTCATAAGGCCGCTACCTAAACACAGGACAACACAAACATAGAATAAACGCAAACATGCATTGAGTTGGATTCGAACTCACGATCCCAGGCTTTGAGCGAAAGAAGATAGTTCATGCTTCTTTTTTATTGCTAGTGAGGTGAGACTAAGTCCCTTGTACTGCGGCCACTTCTGGCCTATTGTACCAACCCCAGATGATAGGTGAGGGTGATTGTGGAGCAACTGGTGGAATGAAGATTGGCAGGGGAAACCGAAGTACTCGGAGAAAACCTGCCCCAGCGCCACTTTGTCCACCACAAATCCCACTTCACCAGACCCGGGATCGAACCCGGGCCGCCGCGGTGGAAAGCCAGCGACTAACCGCTTGAGCTATGGGCGGCCTGAGTTCATGCCTTAGACCGCGCGGCCACTGGGATCGGCATGGCTACTTCAGTTCCTGTATTTACAACGGCCAGCACTGCTAGCAAGAGAGCCGGGATAGCGCAGTCGGTATAGCGACTGGCTAAACGGTCGAGGGGTCGGAGTTCGAGTCCCGGTAAGGTCAATATTTTCCTCTTCTCCACGTCGTCCAATCCGGTTCTGGGGTTGTTCATCCAAAGATGTTAAGCAGCAGGGGCATGAAACTGACCATTCACCTCCAGCTAGTGCCGAGGCCAAGAATATGTGGATTAATACATCCACTCCTCAATAAGCCTCCATGGTGCAGCTTCTTTCTTACATTAGCATTGTTACCATGGTCCTTATTATTACTTTGCTCAATGCGGTTACCATGGTTAACGAACATCGATATTTTCGCCCCCACCTTACAATTTCGCGCGCTTACCGCGATTGCTGACAGAAAAAAAAAGAATAGATTTGGCCTCCAGTGACTAACGTTCGCACCAGAATTAGTCTAAATAAATCTCGCGATAGTCGGGTTAGAACATGCAGCCGGCCGGACAGGAGAGACATGACAATCCCTGAACGCGCTCTTGCGCCTTGTGCAAATTAGTTCACGGGAGTCCAGCATAAAAACCCGTCGTTAGTAAATCATTCTGCACTATGCATAGGCAATTAGTCGCCAACTCAGACTTAGCAACAAGGCAAGAGAACGAGTATCCTTGTAACACAAATTTATATTACTCGTATTTTTGAATACAATAAGCTATTAGGGCCAAGGTTAGCAGATAACGAGATGTAAGGGTCTCACTTCGATGAATATGATTACCGTTTTGGGGTTGTGACAGCCACAAGTCTGTTAGAAATGTTAGAAATATTTCGGAGGAGTACGTTGCCTTCATCTTCAGGATCAGTGGGACGTAACACGATACAAGCAACCTGCTGACTCTGTCTTCACGGTAGAAGAGTGGGATTCTGAAGAAGGTAGATGCCTATTCAACCGAAACTTTGGTATTGTTCTATCAGACTACACGGCGTCACACCGTAGAAAACAGTAATCTTCAATTCAAAACACTCCTGAACTAATAGAGCAGTATACGATGCTCATTTTCGTCGGTTCGAATGACAATCGAGTCTCTATTCTATGTCTGCATTTCATCTGTGTTTGTGTTTGCTACGGACAGGCTTTCAGACGGGACGAACCCCGTCAAAAGGCTCCTACCTGATGGTTAAAGGATTTATTTTTTCAGACTAAATTGTGGATGGCGGGCACGCGGTAGTGTAGTTGGTTGAGGCACTATCCTATAAGCAAGAAGTTCGTGGGTTCGAGTCCCGATGAGGTTGATGTTTCCAATTTGCCTAACCCTTCCAGCCGCAATACGGCCCTGGGGTCGACTAAGCGTCTAAAAGAAATGAGTAGCAGGAATCTTCATGGGGGGTAAAGGGCTGCCGACGTGTAAGGCTGACAAACTTACAGCCATCTGTGAGCTGATTGTCTAAAGAAAATGTGGGAGCCTCGACGTCTCACAACCCTATGGGCCTGTTACAGGGATAGCTTTACCTAAACCGTGAATCAGAATAGGCCGGAGTGTCCAATGCGTGGAAACTAAAGGATCTCTCATAACTCTGGAGGCGGGGAACTTAAACGTTGGGCCTGTTCTCCGTCCAACTACTGTACCAGATGCCTGAATGATACACTGTTTCAGAAGTTAGTGCTGAACTTGGGCAGGCCAAAAGACCAAATGTGTGATACCTAATGAGTCTCAAGGGCCCACAGCAACACCTTATGCGGGAACTTTGCGTTGGGCCTGCTTTCCATCCACCTATCCCTAGTCACAGTCTAAAGTACTGATTGTCTCAGAAGTTTATTCTGAAC